CTAACAATGATAGAATGATGACACCCGCGAAGAGCAAGTCGCAATCTGCTTCTCCATGCTAGCAAAAAAAGGAGAAGATGCACAGCATCAGCAACAAAAACAAATACAGATTAAATTTCAATGTCAGTGTTAAGACAGGTGCAGTGACAACGTTAAAATGCACAGCTGAAAGCTGAAATTGAAAAACGGAATCTCTGATTTAGCCCACGTCCGGGAGGATGACTAGGACAGCTCACCATAATGCCAGACCAGGATTCTGCCACCTTATTCTGCTACACGTGTAGACCAGGATTTTAGGCTATAAGCATCTGAGATTGCAGTAAGGGTATCCTGAGCAGACACTGAGGTCATACATTTAAAGCATTAGGATACCACTTCAAGCATCCATGGCTTTGCCCAAAGAAATCTGGGAGCTGTAATTCTTTGAAGATGCTGAAAGCTGGTAGGAGGCCCCTGTTCCACTCACAGTGCTACAATTCCCAGAGTTCTCTGGGAAGAGGCGTTGACTGTTAAGCTGCCCTGGGAATCGTTAAAAGCCTCTGAGACTGACTGTTGAACCTCTCTGAGCGCAAACCACTCGCCCCACTCTGAAAAAGAGCCTTAATAGTTATTTTTCTCCGAAATATAATGTATACACTGTCCAGCGAATCTTTCCCTGCAGCATAGGGAAGGGCCATTGCTTAGTGGGAGAGCAGGCGCTTTGCATGCAGAAGGTCCCAGGTTTGGAGCTGGGACCCTGGAGTGCCACTACCAGTCTGTGCAGGCAGTACTGAGCTAGGTGGGCCAGTGCTCTGACTATGGTATAAGGCAGCTTCCTGTGAAACTCTGGAGAGCCACTGCCAGTCAGTGGAGACCAACCTTCCCCAGCCTGGTGTCCTCCCGATGTTTTGAACTACAACTCCCTTCAGCCCTCGCTAGCTGAGACCGATGGGAATTGTATTTCCGGGATGTGTGGACTGGGGAGCACCAGATTGGGGGAGGCTGCTGTAGACTTTCCTGAGCTAGTAATTCTTTTGTCCCTATAAGATGCCAGAGATTGACCCTGGACCTTCCAGAGTTATAGCATGTGCCTTGGTCCCTCCCCCACATATCCCTCCTGGACATGGGATTTCACTGTGGCTGCCCTTCCAGCATTGCCCATCCAGCCACCCCTCCTGAACTTCGGCCTTGTTCTTCTGCCTTCCTCTCAGGGTGGCAGAGCGCACATCAGTCACAACTGGCCTGAAGGGCTGCATCCGCCTGCTGGACGTCAACAACCAGATGTACGACCTGAGGGAGAAGGGCAGCGACGTGCTGTACGGCAGCGGAGTGGGCGAGTGTGGCAACAACCCCTGCCACCCCAACCCCTGCCACCACGGCGGCCTCTGCCACGTCAAAGAGGCGGAGATGTTCCACTGCGAGTGCCTCAACGGTTACACAGGTTGGCCTAGCAGGGTGTGGAACGGGAAGGGAGTTGCCTGGACCCTTTTGCCTCTCATAGGCTCGTTTTCTGTGTGCAAGGTGTGGTGGGGAGGGTGACCTGAACCTTTCAGCTTGACATGATAGCTTTCCGGGTGCAGAGTTGTTACTTACCCGCCCTGAGGGCCCAGAGCAGGTTGTGGCAATTAAAGCAGGGGTCAGCAAACTTTTTCAGCAGGGGGCCGGTCCACTGTCCCTCAGACCTTGTTGGGGGCTGGACTATATGGGGGTGGGGGAATGAACAAATTCCTATGCCCCACAAATAACCCTGAGATGCATTTTAAATAAAAGGACACACTCTACTCATGTAAAAACACACTTATTTCCGGACCGTCCACGGGCCAGATTTAGAAGGCGATTGGGCCGCATCTTAACAGTCACAAAAATAAGGTGGTTCTTAAAATATGCACCTCGAAAGGCGAGGTAAAGAAGTGTGTCTTCGGCGTTCTCCGAAAGGCACCAGGTGCATCTCTGTGGGAAAAGCGTTCCACAGCTTAGGGGCTGCCACAGAGAAGGCCCTATCCTGGGCTGCCATGCTCACTGAGCCTCAGAGGGTGGAGGAACTACCATGAGGGCCTCCTCTGCTGATCTCAGCCTTGAGGAGGGTCTGTAGGGAAGGATACCATCTTTCTGAGTTGCAGAGTGGTGAGGATGACAGCCGAAATCTTTCTCCCTCACATGCTGGCTTTCTATAAATGATGTTATATATTTGTACCCAAGAGAAAACCCCAAACCAGCTAACAGGAACATACCAGGATAAACACAATTGTATCGAAACAACACGGCTGCTGACTTAGCTGACCTTTCTCTCCTCTTCCTTCAGGGCCAACCTGTGCTGACGAGAGGAACCCCTGTGACCCCAACCCATGCCACATCTCTGCCACCTGCTTGGTGCTGCCAGAAGGAGGTGCCAAGTGTGAATGCCCCATGGGGCGGGAGGGAGAGTTCTGTCAGACAGGTAAGTGGTGCTTTGTCTGATACACATTGGTTGGTGTGGAGTGAAAAACACTGCAGGGCTGAGATATGGTTAGAGAGAGAACACTTTTAGATAGGCGTTTAACATAGGTCAAATTGGACAAATGCAATGAGATACAGGACCAATCAAACATAAAATTAACTTTGTTCAAGTGATTATTCCTTGGATCACCTACATTTATGTGCGTTCCTCTTCCAGCATGCTAAAATCAGTATATATTTGACAAGCAACCCGTATATAATTTTAACAACATTTTGTGCGTTTCCACCTTGTTTCCACCCCCTCCCTATAACATTTATTAATGTTGCATCCAATGCCATCAGTCTCACAGTGGACCCAGTGAAATTAATAAACTTAGCTAACTTAGGACCCTTAATTTCAGTGGGTCTATCCTGAGTGAAAGTTAGCTGGGTAAGAAGTGTGCATGCTGTTGAGTTGTCATGTATTAAAATATTCCAGATTCCAGTGAAAGCTTTGAAATTGTTTTGATACAACATTTAAAATGCTGCTGTATTATACCCACTTACCTGTCTGTGACTGCCCATGAACTCAATGGGAACTACTAATGTGCAGACATCGACAGGAGGTTCTGAAAGACTGCAATCCTGAGTACACTTGCTAGGGAGTAGATCCCATTTAGTTGGGTTAAGTGTAGATACAGGATTTCCCTGTAAGTGCACTTGAATGAATTTCACTTTCCCGCTTAATATTATAGTTCAACTACTTTCGACTACTGGCAAAAAAAATTTCAGATATTTATGCAAGCATGTGGCGTGCCTTGTTTGTTTTTGTTTGTTTGTTTGTTTACTAAATGTAAGTTAAATAAGCAGGCTAAATCAGCATCAACTTAGGGCAGAAAATTTTGTGGTTCAAATTTCTTCAGAAAACCCACATTGTTGCTACTTACACTGGGGTGGGAGGCAGCAGTTGAGGCCGCAAGCCTTTACTCCAGGGATGGTGAACTTACAGCCCTCCAGGTGTTCTCTCAACAGCCCCGGCCAGCATGACCACTTACTTGGGTGTAAGCTTCATTGGGACTTACCCAGTGGGACTTAAATTTGGGTGGAGATGTATAGGATTGAGCTGTCAGCGTCCCTCTCTCTCTGTCTGGGACCATCCCCGCTGGCGACTTAATCTGACGTTTCTGCTGTTTGTTCCCTCAATTTCCTCCTCTCCTTTAGTCACAGAGCTGGACCAGACAGTTCCCTTCCTGCCAGAATTTAATGGGTTCTCCTACCTAGAGCTGAACGGTCTCCAAGCCTTCGTGCCGGAGCTGCAGTAAGTTCTGTTCCCTCTGCTTTCTCACCTCCGCAAAAGTGATTCAGTTTAATGGGGCATACATATCACGGGAGCATTTGAAACTTGCCTTATACCAAGTAAGACCAGTGTATTGTCTACACTGACTGGCAGCCGCTCTCTGGGGTTTCACAGAGGGAGTCTTTCCCATCCCTCTCCAGAGATGTCAGGGTTTAAACTTGGCCTTGGCCTTGACCTCTCCTGCATGAAAAAACCTTTTTTTTTTTGCTTCTGTTTAAAGTCACATCTCCACCCACCCACTCCAGCAATATTCATAGGAAGCTGCCTCAGGCCGGGTCAGATTATTTGTCCGTCTTACCCAGTATTGACCGATAGCAGCAGCTGCCCAGGATCTCAAAGATCATAGGTAGAATATATTGGGACGTCGGAGGTGAGATATCAGTTGCTGTCTTATTCCCAACTGCTGTTTCTACACCTTAACCCTGAGTATTGCAAGAGAATTTGGCTGCATACAGATCATACATTTAAACCTTGCCTCCTCCCACAAGACTCATGAGAACTGTAGCTTAACCCTCACAGAACTGCAATTCACACCTCCCTTACCAAATGACATTTCCATGGATTCTTTGGTGGAAGCCATGTGCTTTAAACGTAAGGCATGTATTCAACCCAAGTCACTTGTGAGGTCTTCAGGGACACCTGGTAGGAACACAAGGACGTATTGTGGATGGTAAGCATTAGTGAGGCTCCTGCTACCCTTTTTTCTATGGGGAGAATGACTTGAAAGTTGAGACTTGGGTTTATGCTATTCCTCAGGGAGAAGATGGCCATGGAAGTCGTGTTCCTAGCGAAGAACCCAAGTGGCATGATCTTCTACAATGGGCAGAAGACAGACGGCAAAGGGGATTTCATCTCCCTGGCTCTTCATGATGGCTACCTGGAATATAGATATGACCTGGGCAAAGGAGCAGCTGTAATCAAGTACGATCAACTTCCTTCTGAGGGTAGGGGTAAGAGTGGGGGTGGAGGGAGATGTAGCAGTAGTAGTTGTTGTTGATTACCCACCCTTCATTCTGGGGCAAGTTATAATAATTAAAACAAAATATTAAAAACAATCAAAAACAACATATAATCACAGAAATAAAGTGGGTCTTAAAAATATACACCTCAAATGTCAAAAGATGGACTAATGCAGGGCAGGTTTAGGTGAGGTTAACTCTATGTTGTGTGTATTTGATCACATTGCGAAAATGTATTTATTTGTATATCATTACCTTGTAAGTGGTTTGCAGATAGAGAAATAGAGAGATTGAAAGATAGCTCTCTCTCTCTCTCTCTCTCTCTCTCACACACACACACACACACACACACCGGTGTGTGTGGGTGTGGGTGTGTGTGAGAGAGAGAGAGAGAGACAGAGAGAGAGAGAGAGAGAGACAGAGAGAGAGAGAGAGAGAGACATAACGGATATTTAAAAACACACCAAAATGAATTAAAAATCAACAGTAAGCAAAAAAGCGATTAAAACACATTCCATCATTCTACAGGTCTGGGTAGGCTTGCCTAAAACACAAAACAAACATGGAATCCCATGCTCATTCTTTCAGTGGTTGTTAACCCTGGGTTATAATATCCTCTAGGAGCAGAATCCTGTGCAGGTTTGCTTAAAAGTAAGTCTCACTGTAGTCGGAGGGGCTAACTCCAAGGCAAGTGTGCCTAGAACTGCGTCTTTAATCAGACCTGAGTAAACAAACTTTCTGTTCTCCTTTTTCTCCCCCCTTCCCCCCCCTCTCCCTGTCATACACTTGCCACGTCCTTTCTAGGAGCAAGGAACCAATCCCGTTAAACACCTGGATCAGTGTATCACTAGAGAGGAACGCACGCAAAGGGGTGATGAGGATCAATAACGGCGAACGGATCATGGGAGAGTCTCCGGTAAGTGGGTGAGCTCTAAGCGTTGGTCCAATGAGCTGAAGTGGTTTGTGGCAGCCCCTCTGACTTGGCTGAGCAAACGGAGTCCAGCATCAAGAAGCCAGCAATCAGTGGTGTTCTCCCTTCGGCTCAGACGAGGGGCATAAGATTGTCCACACACAAATCAGTTTGGGGTTCCAAATGGTTACTAGAGGGACAGGGAACCTGTGGCCCCTCCAGATGGTGTTGCCCTGGCCCAGTGGTCAGGGATGATGGGAGCTGCAGTCTGGCAACATCTGGGTTCCCTGTCCCTAGCTTTAGAAGACATCAAAGAATTGTTCTATCCTGATATGTCTGGACTCCAGCTTCCAACAGCCCTGGTCAGCAAGGCCAGTGGTCAGGGATGATGGGAGTCATAGACCTGCAACCTCTGTTTTTAACACATTGGGGTTGTGTGCTGTGAAGAAGCAGACCCCAACATCTAGCCCAGCATTCTGTCTCCAACAGCATCCAGCTAGAAATTGTCACAAGCAGGAAACGATGGCAACAGCACTTCAACATTTCCTCCCTACTGTATTCTTATTTAGACGTGAACAAGGTGGCTTCATAGCTGTCACAATCTATAGATCACTCCTCCATGAATTTGTTTGATCCCTCCTTTGAAGCTAGCTAAACCAGTGGTCATTAACAGCACATGGCATAAGTAAATTACATCATGAGAGGGGACATTTTCTCTTGCCCATCCGTAATCTACTGACTGTTCATTTCACTGCTTGACTCTTGACGTCTGGTGAGAGAACCTGTGAACCAATCATAAATATATAAAACTGAATCATGTCCTGCCACTTCCCATCTTCACTCAATCCCTCCCCAAAATTGTAAGTTTTCCATGTAAGAAAGATCCTCTCATGCTTTCATCATTTTGGTCGCCTCCTTTATGCCACCTGCACTCAATCTCAATTTTCTCCCTACGCATCTGAAATCACCAGTGCTGTTTGCATCGCTCCGTCCAGCTAAGTATTTCCAGCTGTCTGGCATACCCACTCCGCATACTAAGCACATGCCCTAGAACCTTCCCAGAATCCTCTGCGGTACGCAAGAAGAATTTGTAATGAAAAAGGTCCCCTGTACATAAGGTGGTTTTTGTCGTTGTTAAACAGACCAAGGTATACACCCTGCCCATTTCTACTTTCAAAACACCAGCCTTTGACCCCTGTCTCCAAGCTTAGCCTAGTTATCTGAAACACAATGGTTTCTCCCTACCCTTCCTTTTAATTCTGGGAAGGAAACACACCTCAGAAAGGGGAAGCTGCAGGATAAATCCGTGCAGAACAGCAAACCGATAGGCCTGTGGCTTGTGTCTGATCTTTTACACATGCTCCTTTTTCTCCTCTTCCCAGCTTTAAAGCTTCCTTTTTGAAAGAGCTGCTGCCTCGTGTCTTATCAGAGCTGCACCTGCTTCTTCCCTGTGCCCCCTGCTCTGATCTGTACCTTTTACTCTACCAACGGCCCGCTAACCAGGGGACAGGGTTGCCGCTTGTATCTTGTGTGACTCTTTTCTGCCTGGTGATGTTATTGCACTGATCTTTTCTTTTGTCTCTTTCTCTCTCCGTCTTTCTTTTTGATTTTTGTTTGTGTTTCTTCCTTCTCCCCCACCCACCCCTTTCTCCTCCCTGCTGTCTGGATTTCAGAAATCCCGTAAGGTAAAGATAAGTATGACGGTCCTCATTACCATCTCACCCGACACTGGCTCATCCCTCCGCCCAAACCCTGTCGCTCTCTTCACTTCTCCATCCAGCCGCCAGTAATTTATCATCGCCTGCCTGCCTGTTCCATCTTACAAAAATCACCTGTTGGTTTTTCATTTTGTTAGAATAGCTTCTTCTTCTTCTCCTCCTCCTCCTCGCTTTTTTATTTTTAAGGCGTCATTAAGTTCATTAACTATTTTGTTTGTTTCTTTCTCCTCTCCACTCACCCCCTCACCCTACATTTCCCCCAGAAAGTTTGGCCATTTCTCCATTTTTTAATATTATTGTGCATTAGATTTAGCCTTTTTAACGCAACCAGAGGTGGCTTTGATGCCATGACTCGCAACGGGGACAGTAGGAGCCTGGAAGGAAAGGGCTGGGGGGTGGGTGCCTTTCACCTGTGGCTTCATGCCAGAGTTTCCTGGGAAGAGGAATTGATTGCCAAACCACTGTGGGAGGGGAATTGAGATCTGGCTTGGAGGAGAGTTCCGGGGGCCAGGTAGGAGCCACATTTGGCCTCCAGGCCTGAGGTTGCCCAGCTCTGGTTCTTGCTTCCTTCTCTGTCCCAGGACAGAGAGGGACATGAGTTACAACCTGGGTCTTCTCCTTTCTCACTGTGTGTTTTTCTTTCCCCTTCTCCCCACCCATCCAGCTTCCTCACACCTCCCTTAACCTGAAAGAACCCCTCTACGTTGGGGGAGCACCCGACTTCAGCAAACTCGCCCGTGCTGCGGCTATTTCCACCAGCTTTGATGGCGCCATCCAGAGGGTGAGGCATATATGATCTCTGTCAATCAGTAGTGCTCCTCAAGGGAGATCAGGGCTACGTAGTTTGTGTTTGCGGCCACTTGTGCTGTGTGTGCTTCATTTAATAAGATATTATTGTACCTCACAGATAAGGAAACCTTTTTTTGAGCCCGAGGGCCACATTCCCTCCTGAACAACTTTCATAGGTCCACATGCCAGAGGCAAAAGTGGATGGAGCAATGAATGTAATTTATGTGTTCAGGAAGCTAGTTTCTACCCACACACAGACACATCCCTCTCTGTTCTCCATCCAGGCAAGCAAAAGGCATTAGCGGAGCTCAAGGACACATCCCAGCCAGGCAAAAACACTCAGGGAGGGTGTGAAGCAGAGTTGTTGCAGGGGTGTGCCCTGGGGAGAGTCTCAAATGCCAGACAGAGAGACCTGGGGTGGGGGGGCCCTGAGCCTCCCCACCCTTGTTGCGTGTCAAAAAAGTTATGGTTTCACAGTGAAATCTCCTAAACACCTGTAGGAGGATCCCTGGCTCTATTGCCTGGTGGAAAATGCTCACAATCCATTTTTACTAGAGATACCATGCATTAAAAATAAACACCTTTTTTAAAAAAAACCCTTTTTTTCATCTCCTTGGGGGCTCATTTGCAGGACCTGACAGTCTTCCTTGCCCTCCTCTGAACCCTTTCCAAGAAGAGCGTAAACCAATTGGAGCAGGTTCACAGGAGGGCAATAAAGATGGGCAGAATTATGGAAAGTAAGTCCTGCGAGAAATAGTTTAAAGAAACAGGATCTCCTTAACTTGGAGAAGAGAAGATTAAGGGGAGACATTAGTGCAGTCTCTGAATTGACCTCTAAGGCCTATTCTGTCTCTGCGGTGCTAAGACTTGGTTAACCTGCACATGTGTCCAAAGCCCGATACGTCTGGGTACCTAAAAGGATGCCTAAAAGACTGTCCCAACTCTTATATATCCAACGCATCACTGTGCTCTGCTGGAGGGGGACCCCTGCAGACACCATCTCATCAGAAGGTCTAATCCATACGTGGTACAAGCCAGCCCTTCAGGTTGGAGGCACCTATCTTTTGGACCTCCCTCCCATTTGGACATGTCAGACAGACACAGCATCTGTTGTCTTTCTGGGGGCTACTGAAGACCTTCGTTTCTCAGCGAGCCTTTTAAAAGGGAGATCCACACCCCAGTCTGCACTGAACCAGAAACTCTTCGCAAATATCCTTTTATTGTTCGATTGCTGCAAGATGTGGGAAGCGAGTCATAAACGAAATAAAGTAATAAGCCTGCAAAAATTACTGGGTTTCCTCATTCTCTGGCAAGGTGTCTCTGGCTTTTAATTTAAAAATAAAGTAAAACCCACCCTGATTCTTTTGTTTCTTCTTCTTTCCTCCCCACCTGCTCAGATTTCTATAAAAGGCGTCCCAATTCTGAAGGAAGAGAACATCCGTGGTGCCGTCGAGATCTCGTCCTTCCGCTCCCATCCGTGCATCCAGAAGCCCAGCCCTTGCCAGAATGGGGGGATGTGTAGTCCTCGCATGGAAAGCTACGAGTGCACATGCCAGAGGGGCTCCTTCGGGGTGCACTGCGAGAAAGGTGCGGCTCTCTCACGCATGCTAGAAGTTGCCGGTGAAGACCGGGAAAAGGCTGCTTAACATAAAGTAGAATGCCACAAACCCGGAAGTGATTTTCTGGTTTGGGAACATTCTTTGGAGCCTGAATGTCTGACGTGGCTACCACGGCTTCCGATTGAGTGCAGGAAGCTCCTGCAGCCAATCGGAAGCCGTGCCTTGGTTTTCAAACGTTTTCAGAAGTCGAACGGACTTCCGGAACGGATTCGGTTTGAGAACCAAGGTACGACTGTAATTTCTTTGACAAACAGAAAATCAGAAGCCGTTTTTCCTCTCTTTCCTTTCTTTTCTTTATTCTTCTTTGTGTCCTCTGCTCTGGGCCGTTATTGGGGTCCGAGGATTACACACACATGAAGGTGGTGGATGGTTCTTGGAAGAACCC